GCGTGTTTAACAGATTATTAGATGTAAAATGTCCTTTTTTTTTTTTTTTTTTTTAAAGGTGCAATATTTTCTGGGGTTTGTATATATATAAATAGTTCCATTTCATTAAAAAAAATCTCCGCTTACAAATTGACACGTTGCCTGTTTTGTCTTAGTTGCTGTCAGAAGGACCATAAACCCCGGGTGTTGCAATATGTTTTGGTCTTGGGAGAAATAGACTTTGATTTGGTTTTTGACTCGAAGCTTTGAATTCTTTTTACAGCTGGACAAAAGAAAGACTTTGTGCCCTCAGACAGGACAGGGAATTAACTGACGGTTGTTTAGACTGTAAGCTGTCCAAGGCAGGGATGGCTGATCACTGCAAACAGTGCTTTGTACCGTGGTACCCTGATCTCGGTCGATCCCTAGGCTGGTATAATAAACATGGTTTTTAATGAACATGCTCACAAACTTTATTTCCATCGATGCTATTGATTAGTGCCCAGCAAGACTGGGCTCTCGGGGCTCACGGCTGTGACTGACCGGGCACTTGGATATTCCTGGTTGGTTGTTTTGTATGAAAATTCAGTTGTTCTTCAGCAAATCATGATTTAAAAGGTGTGATAGTGCTGTTGTCCGAAGTGAGGAGCTCCAAAATAGGTAGAGAGGATTAATTCCAGAAATCAGAGCTGATGAGCACTACAGCAGACATCGCTTTCCCTTCCCTAGAGGACAGCGTGGGCTTATTGTGTTTAAGTCTTTTCTCAACTAGGCATGCACTCCGGAGTTTTAAAGTAATTCAGACCTTGTACTTTCAGTGCTACCCTGAGGGAGACTTTTTCCACTTGCTAATGCATCCTGCTATCGGGAAGCTGCTCCTGATACCTGGTGGAATGTTTCTGTGCCTGATTTCTTTTCATTTCTCCTAGCAATGCTGAAGAAACTCCTATCTCAATTTACATGGAGGTACCTTGTCTTTCCAATAAGGATTTTCATAGCCTCTAACTCCTAATATTTGGACTCATTCCAGCTTTGTCAGAACAAAATCAGTTCCCCAAAATTATCTGAGTAGACTATTTCTGTGCATGTGAGTATTTGGGGTGAGACAGAGGACTTTGGGACAGCATGTGGCCTGACAGAGAATTTTGTGGAATCAGTTTTCCCTTCCCTAAGGGAGAGTCATGAGGACGGAGCCAGACTCTTCCCAGTGGTGCCCAGCACCGGGACAAGGGGCCATGGGCACAACCTGAAGCAGAAGAGGTTCCAGTTGAACGGGAGGAAGAACTTGTTGACTTGGAGGGTGCCCGAGCCCTAGCCCAGGCTGCCCAGGGGGGCTGTGGAGTCTCCTTCTCTGGAGATCTTCAACCCCCACCTGGACACTGTCCTGTGCCCCCTGCTCTGGGTGACCCTGCTTGGGCAGGGGGTGGGACTGGGTGATGTTCTGAGGGCCCTTCCAACAACCCCTGCTGCTCTGGGATTCTGTGATAAGTTTATTCTATTATTTTTTTTACATATCAAAACTCCAATGCATATTTTGGGGTGGAGCAGTGCTGTGTGGAGAGATGGTGGGATCAGTGGTGGCTAATCAGCAAATCGGGTCAACATACAGAGGGTTCTTGATAATTTTCAAATTAAAAATGCATCCTTCCCATGCTATGGCACTCTCCCATCTTTCAAATCTTGATTCTGTGCTTGGGTTTGGGCTTTCCCCCCCTCCTTGTTTTCCCCATATGGACAGAAATACCCCTTTTACTGTCCTTTTACCACTCCCAGCCCCGTTTTCCACTCCCAGCTTTTTGTTCAGCGCTGCTCTCTGGCGAGGCCGACAAACAGCTGCCTCCGTTGTCTGTGCCTACGCCGCTCCTTGGATGGCCAACAGGTCTCCCCTGTGGACACTGCAACGAGCAACCCTCCTATCAGTGGCTGACAAAAGGGAGAAGCAAGGGGGCTAGGCTGGCAGGCAGCGCAGCAGAGACACATTTTCCCTCCTGCTGCCAACGCTGGAGAACACCGCAAGTCTTCGCTTGACTGTCAGCCCAAAATTTACCCTGAGCTGGGGGGTTTGCGTGTCCCTCAAACTCGCTTGGTGCCAGCGCAGTCACTGCACGGAGGGGTAAAGGGAAAGGCAGTAGCCATCGGTGTTTCCAGCCCTCCTCATTGTGTTTTGCCATGGTCAGTAAATTCGTTTTGCTCAGCTGGCTTTTGATGATGAGGCTTGCGCCGTGCGGATCTGAGCCTTCCCTCCTCTGGGGAATTGGGCCTGAGTGTTGGATGAAAGGGGGTGGGGAAGAAATAGGATTGCGGGATTCGTCTGGGAAGTAAATGAGCCACGAGAGTGAATCCCTAGGTTTCTCTTCGCTGTCATTCCCCAGACTGGCTGCGCTTCCCTCCCCTGGCAGTGCCCTTGAATCAGAGAATCATTTGGTTGGAAAAGCCCTTTAAGATCGTCGAGTCCAACCGTACCTTCTCTCGCCGGTGACACGGACCATGCCACTGCCCTGTGTCACAGGGGCAAGGGGACGCTCTTGAGACCTTGAGGTGAACAGTACTTGAAATACAAAGGTGTTTTGTTAAAGTAACACTAATGTTGGTGGAAGGAGCCACTTTGTGCGTGGTGGAGAATGAAATCCCATTTTATACAGAACAACACGATGTGAAAAGGTCTTAGGTTCACCTGCATCCCTCTCTGGATCATAAATGGGGCAAGCTGGGAGGAATTGGGATCTCCGTGACCTGTGCAGTCGTTCAGTCTCACTCCTCATCTTCAAACAAAGAGCTGACAGCGGATTTGGGAGTGCTCGTTCCCCTCCGCTGGGACCAGGAAAGCCTCTGCTGCTTTGTGTACGGCTGCTAAATCGCTGCCCCTTAGGGAGTTGCTGTCTGCTGCTTTAAGCCCAGAATTAGTGCCTTAGCCCTGGAAAGGCTCGCTCTTAAGCCGACCTTTCCATGCCTTCAGTCCGAGTACAGTTATCCGCAGTAGATACAGATCCCCAGTTTAAAAATGAAACAGGGTTTGACCCCTTGTGCCTCTTCCTTCGTAATGTGCAGTAGCTGCCTTGGGTTTGGGGCTGGGTTGTGTCTCCGGTTCCTCCTGCCCAGCCGGGTGTAACAGCAGCTGTCCTCAGCTGCGCGAACCTCCAAGTTGATAACTCCCCTGATACGCTCTGAGATTATGTGCATTAATTAGAGCATCCCTAATGCTAATAAGCAATGGGGAATAAGTGCCTTCTCAGTAGATTAATGTGGAAAGTAGTTGGAGTATTGGTATATATGCAGATTTATTTTTATCTTTGCGATAGAAACAAAATTGCTGAGTTCTGAGGAGCAACTGCGTGTATTTTGACGTGTGCTGGTGAACCAAGGCAGAGTCCAAGCCTCGCTGGGTGACAGCGCAAAGCCGCCTTTGAGGTAGGCTGACGTGAACGAGCTAATTCCCCCACTCAAAGCCCATTTGCTTTGATAATTAGAAAAGTTTGCATGGGAAATTATGCAAACCATATGGAAAGCAAACAACTTTCCTGCTCCCTGTCTTGTCGTCTTTGAAGCAGCGGCTCACG